CATCCATCATCCATCCATCCGTCATCCAACCAACATCCATCCATCCATCCATCCATCCATCATCCATCCATCCATCCATCCATCCATCGTCTCCCTAAAGAGAATAAAACCAGTCTGTTGGATCAGTCCAGCAGCATGAGGAGGACCTTTTTCTGCTGAGGACAATAGTTTCTCTGTGACCCAGAAGAACCAAAGGTTAGAGGTCGAAAACAGACCAATTCCACTAAGTGCCCCAGAAACCAGCAATAAAAGCTCAAAGAAGGTCATAAAAGTCACATTGGGGTCCTGAGAGGATGCAAAGACCAAGAGGCTGATGTTTTTATGGACCCAGCTGGTCCAAACATAAAGAGCATAACTGGGAGCACTGGAAGCACTAGGGGCAGTGGGGGTGATGTTTACCTTCAATACAGAACCGAACCGATCTAACCTCAGATCAAAGTATCATTTAGATGAACAATTTAAGTTTTATCTGTTATTATAGTTCATCACCTGAAGTTACACCTTGACTGTATCTCCAAATGTTTCAGAGAAGCTGCAGGGCTCCAGAAGCCACACTGGTGCAAAGACCTGAAGTCCAGTTTGATGCTGGACTTTATGCTAAATTAAAAAGGCTTGAATCCGTCCACGTTCAGATCCTTCTTTCCTGTCCAGAGACCTGGGTTCAGACGGCTGCTCTGGATTGGTTGAAGTCTTACTGAAATGGGGCACATTTTTATGTTTATGTTGCAGACCCTCTCTCATGAGGAGTACCTCAAGGCTTTATACTTGGCCCCTTTTTTTTCTTGTTTCCCGTACTTCACCTGAGGGTCGTAGTTCCAGGAACCTGCTGCAGCCATTTTGGTTTGTTAAATGTCTCTTTTTGTTTAATCAGCTCTATGAATGTGTGAAGACCTGCTGTCAACTGAGCTGTAACTTAAAGTTCTGCCTCCAGAAACGGGAACCAACATTTCCCGTTTCTGGGTTCCATCACTTGTCGAAGCAGATTTTTGACTTGTTAAATTTGACCTTGAATATTTCCTCAGTATCTGTTTTCTGATGTAAGTTGGACCGGCACCATTTCAGGACTCCATGGAACCAAAGATCTTTCTGTTGGGTCTGCTAACAAGGAGTTATTCCCAAAAAATGACAGATACCTCTTCAAAATGTACTTTCTACGGCTCAGAGGACTTGTTTTTATACAGCGTTGGTCTAAATGGCATAAATATAAGAAAAGGTTTGAAGCGTCTGTTTAACCCAGTCTGTTATTTATATTTGTAATGCTCTTCTGAACAGTTCCCCATCCTGTGGCCCATTCTTCCACTAAGACGTTATTTGTAGAAGCAAACAGCCTGAAGCATTTTAAATGTTTCTTTGTAAACATGAATCACTAAACCGGAGGTTAGCTAACGATGGACCGCATGGCGCTGACTGAAGCTACTCCAAGTTTAAACCAAGCAGCCTCACCTCTTCCTTGTATTTGTTGATGTAGAAGTAGAGCTCATTGAGCGCGCTCAGGGTGTTGAACTCGTTGCCATGGAGACGGGACTGCTCCACCAGGTAGGCGTCCATGTCCTGATCGCTGATGCTGGGCATCTTGGAGATGTCCCTGTAGTACCTTCAGGAGACAGAGACACACGTCAGACCGATTGTTTGGAGGAAAAAACTAAACGAAACAACCTGAGGTTCGCACCTCATGATCCATCTGTCACCAACTTCTATGCATATACATCTGGACCTGCTTAATATTAGCAGTATTTGAGACCGATCGGTTCTGCAGCTGAATAACCGAAACCTCCGGTGTTTGAAAGCTTGTCGTCTATAAAAGCCGCTGTAGCAACCAGATCCTGCGTCATGCCACTGACGTTACGCTACATGATTGGCTGAATGTTGCCACATCACGTAAAACATTGCGGTTGCCCAGACAACAACAATAACATCTCGCAGCGTCCGCGTAACGAGTCGGGAGCATCTGTAGCGTTAGCGTGTCTAATGGCCGATGAAGTTTTACAGAAACAGGTGTGATACAGTTTGTCCGAGTGGAATTTGTGGAAGTATATTTTTCTTTGGCCTATAAAATGCTTTGAGTGTGTCTGCCTGAATAGCAGTGAGTTCAGAGAGATGTTTTCCCAGCCTCTAAGCTGTAATGTTTAAGGTAGGGGGGCAGAAAGCAGATGCCTCCCTACTCTAGACAATGATGATTAGAATGAGTTCACACAGCCTCCTTCAAGCCGTGAACGGGAGAGCTGTTCTGACTGTTTATCTGACTAAAATTTATGTCCTTGATGAATTTAAGTGTTTTTTCTTTTGGGAATAAGTTAACCAAATGTTAAAGTGTGAGAAAGTTCCTTATGCTAGGAGGATGTTAAAGGAATAGTACACCCAAAACATGATTAGCCTTCATCTTCTACTCACCCCCATGCTGAACAACACTCTGGAGTACTTTTTTGATATCTCAAATGCATCTGGAGATCTGGGAGGCTTCTTGC